TCCAACAGATCAAAGGTAAACGTGCATTTGAACAATCACTGATTAAAACACTCAGACACTCAGTCAAAAAGCATATAGACACAAACAAGCTATGAGGAAACTTTTGCAAAACCCATTGTGTTTTACATTTTAAACTGAAGTTTTGTCTAAATAGCCTAACAGTGGCATCACTTTGCCTGCCATGCGATTTGAAACTTCAATATTCTAATCTCAGACCCAAAGTCCTAACCTTCAAAGCCACACATCGCACTCATTGTGAACAAAGATTTATGGTAAAATGATCAATGTAACACTGTACAAGTTACGTCTGTTTGGGTCTTCAGTTAGGCCAGAACATAAAAGCAGAAAAAAATCCTACTTAGAGATACCTCAGTGGGCACTGGGCAACACTGTTACTTCTACTCTTTGGAGTTGGAGATTTGAATCTTACCTCAGTTCTGTGTGTATGGAGTTTGCTTTTTCCTCCTGTGTTGTACAGGTTTCCTCCCACAGCCCATAGACATGCTGTTAAGCTGACCAGCATCTCTAAATTGCCCATATTGTATGTGTGACCTTTGATAGACAGGCATCCCATCTACGATGTACCCCTGTGATATGTTCATGGGAATGGGTGGCTTGGTTCTCTGCTGCCATACAGATAACATGTAATCACGTGGAAAAATCTTTAGGGCAATTAATTCTACACAGTAAGAAATCCGTTCATAATAGATCAGCCAATGGACATTGTGGTGCCAGATATTGGCCTCACCTCCAGGCAGATCATCTCTCCTATCTGCTCTGGCCACATACAGTAAAGGGGTAGAGAGCAGGAAAAAACACAACAGGAAAATGAAAATTAAAACAAGAAAAACAATAATCTAATGATTGAGTTCATAATGATGATATTAAGAATTTGAACTTGCATATAGGGGATTGTAATTTCAAGTGAGATAACTTTGAATAATTTATCCCACTTATGTGTTAACTTCAGCCTGTTTATTTAAATGGAATTTAATTTTGTAGTTTTCATAAAATGTCAATATAATGTTGGCTGATAAAAGAATGAAAAGTAAAGTTGAACAAATGTCATTTATGTCAACAAGTTAAACATAACAGACTAATGATACGCATAGTTAATGTAAACCAGTGGTTCCCAAACTGGGGGGCGTGCCCCCCTAGGGGGGCGCAGAGGTATTGCGGAGGGGCGCACCAATGGGACAGCCTCAGGGGCATGTGCCACCCTAAAATAATCTCTTCACAGACTGGACGATTAAATAAATAAAGCAGCGCAACATTACAGTAACTAACAATAAATGAACCACTAACTTACGTGTACTATTAGAGCATTTATGTAATTTATTTAAACTTTATTTTACCAGGTAAATTAACTGAATACCAGATAACGCATCGGAACTTCCTGGAATACAAACATCATGTTCTTCAGCCAATATGGGCAATGTTGCATTGTCACGGAGGCTGTTCCAGTTTGTTCAGCCGGCTGAGCGGTGCTGTACGATCTGTCTTAAGTCGTCTTGCTTTTGCAAGGTTTTTGTACCATGTGACATGGTGACACGTGACGACGTTTTGCAGCGCTGGACAAAAAAATTTAACCATATCATGAAAAACGAGGTTTAAAATTTTCTACATGAAGTGCAGGGAGACTGTCAATTAATGGGTATGATTTAGTGTTGTTTTGTGCTATAGTATAGGCTGAAACCTGCTATCATTAAAAACAAAATGCGGTAATCGTAAAACAAACTTTAATTTGTGTACACCAATGAATATTAACAGGAATGTTAAATCTGCATTTGCATAATTTCAAACTTATGCTGGACTCTTATTTTTAATTGATTGCTCTTTTTTCTCCCACAGTGGTGAAATTGCACCATTTGTATTTTGTAATTGCATTTGTTTCACTCAATTAGAAAAGGGAGTTGCATTTCAAATAAAGTTTGAATCTGAACCTGTGTAGTTTGAATGGGGGGCTCAATAATGTTCCTTCCTATCTAGAAAAGGGGGGCCCTGCAGAGAAAGTTTGGGAACCACTCATGTAAACCGTACAGTAGTATCTACCGTTTTGGTTTTTCTTTTCTACTCATACCCTCATTACCTTTTACAGCAGTGCCACCTAGTGGTACAAAGTAGTAATAATATAGAGATGACAGGACACAACAATTTCTATATGTACAATAAGAGGATGAGGTTAACAGGAAGGCTTGATTTCTGTTGCTGTTCACAGTGTCCTGATGAAGAGAGCAGACTCACCTGCACCCAGCAGTATTTCTGTGAAGAGTCACCGGTCAAAGGACAACCCACCTAAGTTCAGAGAGGGAAGTTTTCCAACAGATCAAAGGTAAACGTGCATTTGAACAATCACTGATTAAAACACTCAGACACTCAGTCAAAAAGCATATAGACACAAACAAGCTATGAGGAAACTTTTGCAAAACCCATTGTCTTACCTCGGCCTTGTGAGGATGAGAATGTGAGTTTCTTAGACAGAGTTTGCTGTGCTCTGACATGTGTCTAAGTGCTGTGTAGTGATTGCTAAAATGCATGTCTTCTTTATGTTGAAATTGTGACACGTTCTGGTATTACTCATGCAGTGGGAGCTACGGTGGCCCTGAAAGGTCAGAGTATGTCGACTCAATGAGAAAACATTAAGAAAATACAAAAACATCATTAAGAAAACGCAAAAACAAAAAGATGATGCAAAACCATCAAGAGAAATTAATTAAGCCAATCAATTTTTTATTTAAATTAATTTTGTTCTTTTCATGTGTTGTGTTCTTTTTGTGTGTTGCCGTTTGTGTGTGTGGTGCTTTGTGCCCGCTGATCAAGGTTGTACAGTATTAAGCTAGAGATTAGTAGACGGACCATTAGGGCTTTGTGGTATATGATATATTTGTGGTATGGGACATATTTTCAAAACAAGATATAGGATGACACAATACCGTTTATATTGATTTCTCATGTGTTAAAATTAGGCCATTATTAAAGATTTTGAATAAAGACCAAAAGTACTCCTTCCTGGTTCTAAACAATGTAAAAGCTTTGGTAGTGATGTTGCACCAGATCCCAGAATCACAGCTACAATCAGACCAAGGTATGTTTCCCAAAAGCTCCTGTTAGCAACTTACACTGTTGGACACATTCATTTGCCTGGTTCCAGTGTATGACTGAGTTTACAGGTGATAAACTGATTACAATTTTTGCGTTTTAAAGGCCTGATTATGGAGTTAATAATGTAGACAGAGTAATAGCATGTAAACGCAGCCATAATTAGCTAACACACCCAACAGATCTCCCTCACTTTGTGACTGGGGAAACTGCATGTTCCTCTTCCATATGTTCTGTAGGGCTGAGCAATATGGAACAAAAACCATATTGGTATTTTTAGGCAGAATAGCAATATACAATATTTTCTAAGTGTGTTAAATGTAAAGCTTTAAATAAAAACCACATGTAAGATATAACAAACAGTTTAAGTAAAACAATGTGTGGGCTTCTTTCCTTGTTTGCAAATATATCATCAAAGACATTTTCTTTATTCCGAATATAAGTCTCAAAATAGACAAAAATCAATGTATGCCTGTATCTCTTGCATGGGTTAAATAAAGCAGCCACAACATAAAAGTGATTCACTCAACTATGTCCACCAACAGACCGATTTTTGTCCATTCATGACACTGATCTCAAAACATAAGATGGAGTTTTTTTTCTGTTCATAATATAAATCTAAATCCTTTTTCACTCGTGGGTAAGTGTTTTCTGAATTTGTTGCCTATCGGCACTAAACAACTACCGTAGATTTTGATGTCAGAGGCACGGTATCGAGAGTTAAATACCGCCCCCGTGGAATGGAGCACTTCCATTTTGAAAATCACAACTGTCACGCTTCGGCATGCAGGTGAGCAGAGAAGCAAGCGAGAGCCAAAATGACGGGGAATTAGGGTCTTTAATCCTTGACAGACGGACAGGTAGAGACAATACACGGACAATACAATGCCGGATCTGGCATACATGGGGAGACGCGGACTAATATACACAGGACTAGGTAAACGGAACAGGCAACAGGTGAGAACAATCAGGGCTGAACACGAGGTAATGAGGGGGGCGTGGCACACATCGGGATCGTACGGAGCGGGATGTGACAACACCACATTAAGGAAACACAACACATTTAAAAATTAAATTTGCTTAATTTTTGTCTTGATATTTTTGTGATGTCTTTTTGTTTTTGCGTTTTCTTAATTTTTTTAAATTGTGTTAGTGTTGACGTGCTCTTGGCTTTCAGGGCCAAATTGTTTATAATGTTTTATGAATGCATTATAATACATTATGAATGTGTTTATAAATTACTAAACACTTAAGTAAAGTGTTACCAAAACGTTTTCACAATGTCTGGAAGGGCAGTGAGCTGGTTAAGTCAAAAGCAGGCAAACGTAGCACTTTCAACTGCAGAGGCAAAAATACGTAGCAGTCGGAGGACAAACAGCCAAACAGCTTCTAGCCAAAGCATAGTTTGAAAGACTGCAAGAAAAGCTGGGTCTTGGACGAGAACAAATGTTGTATTATGTTTACTAATTGTTTTAGCTTAAAATAATTTTTCTTTGTTTTGTCTGTAAGTGTATCTATAAATTAAGTGTAGTAATTGACAGGTACAAGAGTAAAAATACAGTCAGCTAAGTTTTTCTGTGCATTTGGTCTGCTGGCCAAAAAGGGAGATTTGAAGGGGGTGGAGCCATGATGCTTGAGTGCCACAAGAGGGAGCTGTGTGGCTGAATCCGTGTAATGGTGGTGTTCTTTCCCCTGTGCTTGTTAATGTAATAAAAATAAAAATTCCACTGTTCGAGAATACTCTCATGTTTTAAGAGAATTCATCAGATTTGAGGTCTTTATGTTTCAGTCTTATTTACAGAGACCCAATGGAACAATGCAGTTCAGATCTGCATGATAAATTGGGTTTATCATCCATATTGAAGGTATGTATTTATTGCTGATATATATTTTATCTGTATGTGAATTAGCTTACATGTTATATAGCTGCACAATAAGAAATAAATCATGTTAAAGGAAAAATATTGAAAACTGATATGAAAAGGTGTGGTGCAAGTAGAAATAATTAACTGCGACTTTTTCTTTTAGTCATTAGAAGAAAATGCTATAAAGTTCCTAAAGAATGAGCTGAAGAAGATCAGAAATTATCTAGAGGAGAGTTTCACAGAAGGTCCTGAGCCTCAGCTGGATGAGGACAATGACCTGGACAGTGATGATCAGATGCAAAAGACCTGTGGTAAAGCAGGAGCTTTGAAGGTCATACTGTACATACTGTGGACCATGAAGCAAAATGATCTTGCAAACAGACTGGAGAAGAGTAAGAGCTTTATGCGAATCTGTATATGTAAATGCAGTTTCTGTAAAAATGTGTGTGATAAAACTTTAAATTTCACATTTATCAATTTATTGCATAATTTAGTTTATACCTGTTGGAAAAGAAACATTCCTCCTCATACCGGTCGGGGTATTTGTACATTTTCTTTTCATTTCAGTGGACCTCCTGTTGCAATGTCAGTACAGAATAAAATGTGACCTGAAGAAGAAGTTTGAGTTTTTGTTTGAAGGGAAAGCTAAGGAAGGACACCCAACACTTCTCAATGAGATTTACACAGAACTCTACATAAATGAAGGTGGAACTGGAGGAGTCAATGATGAACATGAAGTGAGACTGATTGAAACAGCATCCAAGAAAAGTGTAACAGAAGATACTACAGTCAAGTGCAATGATATATTTAAACCCTTATGTGGGCAGAAGACACCTATCAGAGCCGTACTCACTAAAGGGGTTGCAGGTATTGGGAAATCAGTCTCTGTGCAGAAATTCATTCTTGACTGGGCAGAAGGAAAAGCAAACCAGGATATTTGCTTGATATTTGCTCTACCATTCCGGGACCTGAATTTGATTAAGGATGAATACAGTCTGATTGAATTGCTTTGGCATTTTGTCCCAGAACTGAAATCACTTGATTCTGCTGAACTATGTAGTTGCAAAGTCTTGATCATCTTTGATGGTCTGGATGAGTGTCGCCTTCCTTTAGATTTTCAGAAGAATGAGAGCTGGTTTGATGTAACAAAGAAAACATCACTGGATGTGTTGTTGACCAACCTCATTAAGGGGAATCTGCTTCCATCTGCTCGACTCTGGATAACCTCCCGGCCAGCAGCAGCCAATCAGATACCTCCTGAGTGTATCCACCAGGTGACAGAGATACGAGGGTTCAATGATCCCCAGAAGGAGGAATATTTCAGGAAGAAATTTAGTGATCAGAGCCTGGCTAGCAAGATTATCACACATGTGAAATCATCAAAGAGCCTCTTCATCATGTGCCACATACCTGTGTTCTGCTGGATTTCAGCCACTGTTCTTGAAATACTTTTTAGTGAGACTGACAACAGAGAAATCCCAAAAACTCTGACTGAAATGTACACACACTTCCTGATCTTTCAGACGAGTTTAAAAAATGACAGATATATGAACAATCAAGAAAATGAGAGAAATATAATTAAATACATACAACTGAATAAAGATGCCCTCTTGAATTCGGTAAGCTGGCTTTTCTCATTATTAAAAAAGGCGGTCTCATATTTGACAGGAACAAGACTGTTTGGTGAGCATAATGAATATATTGAATCCAACAGCAAATTCCTTCATTATCTTGGTAAACTGGCTTACTACAACTTTGAGAAAGGCAATCTCATATTTTATGAGCAGGATTTGAAAGAGAATGACATTGATGTCAGTGAAGCTTCAGTTTACTCTGGAGTGTGCACAGAAGTCTTTAAAGAGGAATTTGGATTGTATCGGGAGAAGGTGTACTGCTTTGTACATCTGAGCATTCAGGAGTATCTCGCTGCTTTTTATGTGTTCCAATCCAACTCACCAGCTGACCTGCTGAAGACTACAGTGGATCAAGCATTAGAGAGCAAGAATGGACACTTGGACCTCTACCTCCGCTTCCTCCTTGGTCTCTCAGTAGACTCCAATAAGACTCTGTTACAAAAGCTCCTGGGAAAGACAAGAACCAGCTCACATAACATTACAGAAACAGCCCAGTACATCAAGGACAAAATAAAACAGAATTTATCTCCAGAAAGGACCATCAATCTGTTCCATTGTCTGAATGAACTGAATGATAATTCCTTAGTAGATGAAGTACAGAACTACCTGAATTCAGGAAGCCTTTCAGCAGAAGATCTCTCACCTGCCCAGTGGTCAGCTCTGGCCTTTGTGTTACTGATGTCAGATGAGGAGCTGGATGTGTTTGATCTGAAGAAATACATCAGATCTAATGAAGGTCTTCGGAGGCTGCTGCCAGTGGTCAAGAAATCTAAGACAGCCCTGTAAGTGATTCTGCATACATGTCTTTTGCTAAATAAGCATTAAAAATTAAATTAAATTTTAATTAAATGATACTTTATCCCCATGGGGAAATTCTCTTTTCGCCTTCCCCTTCCAGCTCTCCATGACACACACAGACACATGTAGGTGAGAGTAAGCTTAGCAGCGAAGATCAGCCACATGCAGCGGCACCCATGGAGCTGGGGGTTAAGGACCTTGCTCAAGGGCCCACAGACATGACCATTCAAGATTCCTGATTATTCATGATAGTTTATAATTGTGATGTTAAAGGATTTATATCTTAGAGAAACACTGAGGGTTCCTAAGTGGTATGTGAGTATTATTGTTAGCAGATGTGTTCATATGATAGCGCCCAGAGCCGGGAGCTTTGTGAAGACTGATGTCTCTGGTGGATCAGTGGTGCCCTCTGGTACCTATACTGTAGCTGTACTTTGCTGACTATTTGAAAACATCCTAAAAAACACATTTTCCCACACCAATGAGCATCAGCCTCTGTTAGCCACCAAGGAAGATGTAACATGGCGTGTGGAGCCCTTTTGTTTTCACTAACATGCCTTTAGTGTTAATAACAGCAGTGAATCTAATGCCTTAAACCAAAAAGCTGTAATATTCCTAATAAAATTACTGCAATGTCATGAAATTGTCAAGCTGAAAAGTTTTGAAATGTATCTGTATTTTATAAAATGATGGATTAATAAACATAGTCTATATAAAAAATATATGGTTTCAAAAACCATAACCATAATCATTAGGGACCTTGGTGATCTCATGTACATACAGTAGAAGTTTCCTGTAAAAAGCAATATTTTTTATACCTCCTTAATTTAATTTTTTTTTATACCTCCTTAATTTAAAATTAGGTACTTTTTAAAAATTAATTGTAAAATGTGCTAAATATTACATAAACCCCACTGCAATAAACACAAAGTTAAACAAATAGGCTAATGTATTCAGCTTCTACTTACAGTCCATACATATCTATAGTGTTTTTTTTTGCCCAACTCCTGCACACATATACCGACTGCATTTTACACAGGTGCCTTTAGTTTTATGTACTTTTTCCCAGTGGCAAACGAGGAATACAAAATGAAAGTATATTAGCTTGTCACTGGGGCTGTACCTTACATCTCTGTGCAGAAATGGACTCCCCAACATACAAAGAACATTAATGGTACCCCCAATGGTACAAAAATGTTCCGGAGTCTGTTTCTGTACCTAAAAAGTACAATTGCTTACAGCTAAGGGTACAACTGGCAGCAAAGGTACAAATTGGTACCCTTTTTTCTGACAGTGCACTGCATGAAATATACTTTTGAAAGTTCTTGGTATGGTGTGTGGCTCTTCAAGGACTTTCTGATGGTCAGAAGATTGCCAGTTGAAATCTCCTGGCCACCAGTGGGCTGCTGCCAATTAGCCCCTGAGTAGGGCTATTACCCCCAATTGCTTCAGGGGTGCTGGGCTCTGGCCAACCCTGTAATGTGATCACCAGGATTGCTTTCACCTGCATGTGTGTCTCATAGAGAAAGATCAGAGAAGTGAAAACATGATTTCAATATGGGGGTGAATAAAGTATCACTATTACTACACAAGAAACCCTAGAAAGGGTCAGCTGTAGTGCTGATCATTGAGCCACACTGCTACTCAGGGCCTAGTTTCTCAAAACCTTCTTAATGCTATGTCATTCGTAAGTTATATGTCAAAAGATAGAACTTTAAAAAGGCTTCGAGAAACTCACCCCAGAGCTTTATAAAAATACTTGTGCATATATAAAAGCGTCTCAGGGTTTCTCACCCTTTAAGGTCCTTAAAAAGCACTCTGGGTTCGGCTGGGGAGTTTCAATTGAAAACAATCTGTATTTTTGACTAGGAAAGGGAAAATTACAAAACAACTGATATCTTTATATTTCTTAGTCAATTAATGTATTTTAAGGAATGTTCACTCATTCCCTCATTCAAACTGGCTCTGTAAGACAAAAGCTGCTTATTTGAGTAGGTTGATGCAGTAACTCAATATTCTGTACATTAAGCTTTTTGTATTTGCAGTTTATGCCTCATGTTTTACTTAAAAATAAAAAGGTTTATTTTCATGTTTCATATAAGTAAAATTACTTGTGTGTAGAATATATACCCATGTGTCTTAATATGTTTCATTTTCTAGACTAAACAGCTGTAATCTCACAGAGACATGCTGTGAAGCTTTGGCTTTAACTCTCAGATCAAACCCCTCATGCCTGAGAGAGCTGGACCTGAGTGACAATGACCTGCAGGATTCTGGAGTGAAGCTGCTCTCTGCTGGACTGGGGAATGAACACTGTAAAGTGGAAATACTGAGGTCAGTCCTATTTGATTGTCCATCTTTTTCATGTTTGAAATGGTATTAAATCATATTATAATAAATTCATTACACTGTAGTTCTAAACATTTTCTGTTGCTTTATAATTTCAGAGAAATGTAGCTTTGTTTACTTTCCCAAGCCTTCAGTTATGGAAATAGTAACCGGGTACTGACAAAGATTTTAACAGGTGCATAATTTTCTGAAATATAGTCATTATAGAAATACAAGTAAAATTAATAGAGTCACTTGATGTCCTGGGTATGACGTTAAACTGCATCCGGCCCTGCAAGGGGTTGGTGGCGGGATTGGCACTCCAGCCACTGTAAAACAACTCTCAATTAAATTCAGTTAAAGAAGTACAATTAAATTAAAACAAGCTAGATACTCTTCTGCTCTTCGCAGGAGTAGCTCTGCTGCAGCCGCCCACAGAAAGGCTGCACACACCATGAAAGGGATGGGGGAAAGCCTTCGGGAGCCCCATCCCTGGACGAGTTGAAATCGTCAGAGCGCTAATAGGGTCAGGCCTGTTGGGGATTGGGGCTGGTGAGGTGCTGAGGCGTCTAGTTTGAGGCCACCCATCTGGGTAGGCATGTGGAACATCTTGTCTATCCGGCAAGATGACAATCTTCCTCTGCTGTCGGGGGAGCTTCGTAAACTCCAAGTTTTGGTGGCAGCACTCTCTGAGGTACGCAGACTGGGGAGTGGCCAGATCTCTGTAGGTGGGTATGCCTACTTTTTTTCTGGTCGGTCAGACAGCTGCCATACTCAAGGAGTAGCTGTTGCTGTAGTGGATTGGCTCCTTCAGATGTTGTCTCAATATCAATGAGCGTATCATGAGATTCAGACGAAGGCACTCCTTGGGTGTCTTGTCTGTTGTCTCAGTGTACACTGACCATGGTGAGTGATGTCTTGTTGAGGGAGACATTTTACTCGCAACTTTGCTTGGTGGTTGATGGGTGCACACAAGTTGACACTCCTCTGGTCATGGGTGACTTCAATGCGACCACTGGCACTGACAGGGCTAACTATGAAGATTGTGTCAGTCCCTATAGGTCTGGAGACTGGGGTGAAAGTGGCTCCATGTTCCTTGACTTGGCGAAAGGTTAGGAGCTGCGGGTCGCTGGATCCTGGTTCCAATGCACCGAGCCGCATCATTGGACTTGATACTACAATACTGGTGGTGCAGTGAAGGACATCGATCACATCCTCGTGGGCAGACGCTGGAGGCTCCAGCAGAATCCTAGGGACTACAGAAGTGCCCAGTTTGTGAATTCTGACCACAGACTTGTTGTTGCTACTCTGAAGATTCAGCATAGATCCAGTAGGCTACCACCTACTAGGAGAATGAGGCTGGACTGTGGTCTAGTGAGGAATCGAAGCATTATGCACATCTGAATCTGTTCTTAGGTGACTTGCAGTCAGGGCAGGTGATTAAACAGTCCATACTGCAGTTGTGACCCACTGGTCCAGCAACTTAGAGCAGTTGTTTAAAGCTGACCATCCAGCTAAGATGTTGGACATCTCTGGGTCCACGGTTATCGAAGTTGATCATCCGATCAACTGTGAACCACCCAATCTCACTGAGATTGCAATGGTGGTGAATCAGCTGGGGGTAGAGAAGACCACAGATGATTTTGCGCTGTTGTCCGAGACGCCCATTTTACCTGTGTTACCGACAGCCATTTCACTTGCGTTACACCTTGTTTCCATGGCAACCCAGAGCTATTCTGACACCATTCTGCCACGGCCACGAAATATGGCCAGTTTTTTGGACCGTGTATCTGCTTGGGGGATCGCCGGCCGAGATCCTTAGGAGTGTCACTGTATGGTGGCTGTGGCAACATGCTGCATCAGCACATGCTCCCCAACCTGACCTGACCTGACCTTGATTAAAATATGAGGTGGCTACACAACTTTATATTACTGTTTTGCTCAACATTCCATATGCAAAACATACACAGCATTAAAATTCAGAACATCGTTATAGTGGGATATCACATCTGTAAGCTCCCTATAGTTTTCTTTGTTGTCAGAGTTTTCAGTGTCATCATGTCCCCTAAATGGCAGCTCCTGTTGACCCAAGAAATAAATCACATCAATCAGCCTTTTCAGAATCTCATGGTTCTTCATCACTTTGTCATTGTGTTCATAAACCATGCAGCTCTGCCTCTAAAATCTGCCTGTGAACTCTCAATGTCTGTGCTAAGCTTGGGGGAATTTTACTATGGAGGAGCCCCCCGCCCTTTCCGTGAATTTTATTGTGGGCACCCCCTCCCACCTTGGCAAATTTCATCAGCAAGATTTTAAAATTCCAGGATAAAAAAATGGATAAAACTTACTTGTTGGTGTTACTTAAATAAATTATGTTGATGCAATGTAAATGTATTAGTTTATATGCATATTTTTTTGAATTAACTAAATTGAATAAACTTTTTGAAAAAAGTTACTTTGAATGAATTCAGTGAATCACGGACAGTGGTTCCAGACAACTAGAATGAGTATTTTTTTAATGAAGCATTCTTTTTAAGTTGATGCATTCATTTTGTGTTATGAGAACAGAACATAACTGAGTTATTCTCACTAAATTTTCTCATGTCTAATCAAACCAATTCAACTGGTTGCTAGACTGAAAAACACTAAGTATTTATCAGAGCTGAGCAAAGGTGACAGCTCCCCTAGTGGTTATACAGGTGCATTTTCCCTGGAGTCGATATACTGGGTGGTGGCCTCATTGCTTTACACTATTACTTGGGACAGATGAACAAATGAAATCATTTTGCTAATTTAATATTCAGATTTTCTCTAGGCTTAATATTTAGAAATTCAAGCATAATATTTATAAGCCCACCACGATTGAGGATGGAATGTCACAGATATTAGTCTCTACCTATTTTTATTATTTGGTTGTCAGAGTTAATTGTTCCATGTTTGATAGGTCTGTGTGCATGTGTGTAATTCATTTTTTTTATTTTAGACCACAAAATCAGGCATTTTTCACCAATTGTAAAGGGGGAAATAGGAAGCAGTTTGTTTTGCATTCATTGGGGTCTAGAGAAATCTGAAAACACTGCATTCTGTTTGAATGGAGGTGGGTTGAGTTGTAGGTGTGCTATTTGTTATTGGTCAGGTATATTATTATTATTATTATTATTATTATTAGCAGTGGTAATAATAGTAGTAGCAGTGGTAGCAGTAGGAGTAGGGGGTCTTCCACAATGTAAGATTTATTAGTTAGCTGGGTTAACTTAAGTTATAAGTCATGAATAGACAACAATTCTGGTGGTTTTGCCTATTCTGGCAGTGTATTGTCCAGAGTAGCGTCTGTGTGTTTTTTCTCTCGTGAATAGCACTCCGGCTGCTATGGTATTCCATTGAACCTTTTTGTTTTGTGAAAATTTGAACTACTCCTATAATTATGTAATGATATCGAAGACAAATATTTCTTATAATGAATGGAAGCATTTTAGAAATCATAATAAGCTAACCAAAGCCGCGGTGGCAGTAAAACACCGTTAAGCTGGATGCCGACCGCCATAAAAGAAAAAGGTGACGAGAACCAATGGCGTGCCTTGAGTAGCTTACGTGATGAATTCTAGAAGAGTTGAAAAAAGGTTTTTGGATTATTTTATGCAATTATTCAGATTAATTAACGCAAATCCTTCATTCAGTGGGGTAAATGCACATAAACGCCATTTACACACCTTTTAAATTTACAAAACAGCGTTTTACTCTTTGAGATCACTAATGTTAAGGATATGAATAGTTACCCACCATTTGTATTGCTGTGCATATAGTTTACCCACCTTAAATTTCTTGTTACCACTACACCATTGCTTAATTTCTTCATGATAGAAATTTATAGTAATATATCAAATGTTGTAGTACTCAAGACCAGTTTTTGAAGGTTGTCTGGGAAAGATGTCAACAAAATTGGCTATTATCAAATGTGGCTACATTTACCCTACCATTCTATTAGGGGGGCGCGCCAAGTTAATTTTATTTAATTTTATATTTCTATATAGCGCCAGATCACAACAGAAGTCATTTAAACCAAAAGTAAGGTAAGAGTCAGAAAGACCAAGTGTGTGTTCAGCTTACACCAACAGAGTTTGTTGGTCTTCAGGAACAATCAGAGCTGGGCCTACATAAAATTTGCATAAAAAGTGAAAAGGCCATGTTGGTTAGAGTCTTTCTCATGATGGTAGATTAATTAAACACAGCAGCTGACTACCCAGATGAGTTCACATGAATACACATTAAAATTGGACAGATATGGGCCACCGATTTTTTTTTACCTGTGTGGCACCATATGAGCCTGCAGTCTGGGAAGAGGTGGAGTGACAGTGATTAACACTCTGTGGTGTCAATTGAACACTATAAGAGTTAATAAAGTTTAACACTATAAAATAACAATCACTACATTTTGCAAAATGTTAAATGTAAGAGATTGGTGAGAAACATACAAACACCATGCAGTGTTAATTTAACACTGCATGTGCATTGTTAGAGGATGTTATATTTATTTTTATGTCAGCTTTCCAGAACTCCTGGCCATCTTCTCTTTCTGACTTTCACTCCAAATTATTTTATTTCCTACTATCACGTGATCACAGGTCAGTAGACTGCCATTGCTGCTAGTCTGTCCTTTTCATACAGAATGAACTTAATTTATTTAGCTAATTACTAGTGAATAGATGGCTGTTGAACGGTATTCATCACTTAATATCTGGGTTATATTCTGTCGAATAGGATGTTAGATAACTTGGATACTATGCAAACATCATATACTCTGTGTACAAAGCTATATGGTATACTACACCTGTGCTGCACCTGTGCTGACTAAATAGCCAAGATACTTTACATAAGAGAGAGAGAGTACATGTCAAAATGATGATGAAATGACAGTAAATTAAATACATGAATGTGAAACATAAATATTTATCATTATCAAGTATTATGAGTATTATAAGATAGATATGTACTGTACCATTATACTGCTGGCAGCTTTGTTTACACCAGCTACATGTGGTGCACAATGGTGTCTGCCATGTCCTGCCATGTCCTGCCATGTCCTGCTCTGATCAGGATTTTTCAGCACTGTTTTAAACTTATGAGACCCCAGAAATGTACGCAGTAGGACGTTGTGCAGAAGGACATTAGGCGACATAACAGTATTGTGATTTCTTCTTATACTGTAGGTTGTCAGGCTGTAGTGTCAGAGGAGAAGGCTACTCTTCCTTGGCTTCAGCACTGAGGTCAAACCCCTCACACCTGAGAGAGCTGGATCTGAGCTCCAATCACCAAGGAAACTCAGGAGTGAAGCAGCTCTCTGCTCTACTGAAGGAACCCACCTGTAAACTGGAGAAACTGAAGTGAGTACAGAATATGCATTTTACATCAATCCAACTATCCTTTTTCTAACTGCTTACCTGGACAGGGAGCCTGGATCCAATCCCATGCAGTATAGGGTGGGAGGTAGGTTGAAACCCTGGGTGGGATACCAGTCAGTCACTGGGCACACACTGACACACACAAATGGTAACTTACAGACACCAATTAACTGAACTGCATGTGCGAGGAAAATGTAGTAACCAGAGCTAACATTTAGAAAACATGAAAACTCCCCAGACAATAAGATAGAAGTAGGATTCAGCCCCAAACCCTGGAGGTGTGAAGCAACAGTGCTATTGACTGACTCCACATTTTTGGGGAGACCATCTTATTTTAAATATCTGTTAGTTTCGGCCTTTCAAACTTAATCCATTCCATGCTCGATCTGATGTGTTCAGGAGTTTTTTTGTTTTGCTATACTTGTTAAGTGTGGGAATAGCTGGTAAGAAGATGGCTACCAGCTGCATTGGAAGCTGTTTCATTGGCCTGAATGTTATGGCATGATTCACATTGATATTGTATGTGTTTCTTTGTAGATTGTTTATCTTTTCAGTCAGCTATTTCTTTTTATTTTGCACCATATGTGTGTTTTCTTTTACCTGTCAAACTAATATACAATGTGACCTGTGTTACAGTACTTTGTCTGCTTAAACTGTACAGTAATACATAAAAAAATATAAGGATATAGCTGGGTAAGATTCATTAAATTCAGTCAGTGATCAAATGATGACAGTAAATAAATGTACCATCTCACCTCTCCCCTCATCTCAAATCACTGAAAGGCACAGAAGACTGCACACTGTAATATATTTTGAAATGTAAGCTGTGCTTTTGCTATATTGAAAATAAATGCTTGTTTTTGTGTTTCCTTTTCCAGAGTGAACAGCTGTAAATTGAGTTGGGAATCCTGTATAGCACTGGCCTCTGCTCTCAGTTCAAACCCACATGTGAGAGAGCTGGACCTGAGTGACAATGAGGTGCCGGATTTAACAGAGAAACAGCATCCAAAGATTAAAAGGGAGATGCCACAGTCAGCATTACTGGGTTTTACACGCTGTAAGCTGGAGGTACTCAGGTCAGTATTACTGGGTATTCCTTAATGTAAATGAAATACTAAGGACACTCCACATAATGGCTCAGTCAGTAAATCAGCTTATCCTGAATGCAAGCTGTCCAATCATGGTCTAATACCTTAATACTATAAAGCATTTTATTTCAAAGTTTCTGAGTTCCTTTGATTTTGGGAATACCCTCCTGGTATTCCTGCCTGAACATGTGTTTAGGGATTTGCGGATTGATACTGACATATTCCTGAAAGCGGGTTCGGATTTAAACCTTAACTCCAGTACTGCAGCAAAGTTAGCTTTGAATCAATAAATTTTACATTAATATCATGCCTTTCAAGACACCCAAAGTACTTTACAGTAACAATGGGGAGCCACTTNGGGGAACAGGACCTGGAAGACAAGAAAACCATCAACGGGACCAGGGAAACAGGACAGAGACACAGAACAGGAACAAAGACGAGAAAAACGAGAAGACCTGACAGAGAACAGGGAAGGCAGACAGACAGACCAAGAAGGGAGACACAGAAGGGGAGAAAGGCGGGAAAATAAGGCCAGGAGTGAACGGAGGCACAACAGGAGGAGAAGGAGCAGGAACAGGAGGGACGAAGGGACGAGGAGCAGACAGGGGAGACCAGACAGGCATGGATGGGGGAGAAAGGGGAGCCCGAGGGAACCCAGACGGGCAACGGCCGGAGGGGCCGCAGGCGAGAGGGAGGAGGGAGCAGGAGGGGACCACGCAAGGGCCCAGGGGACGGGCCGGAGGAGACACGGAGGGAGCAGGAGGGAACACCGGCGTAGGCAGGCAGGAGGGGGAAGCCGCGGCAGGCGAAGCCGGGGAAGGCGCCGTTTGACGCCCCGCCGCAGCAGGGGGGCCCGGAGGCGGCCGACACGGAGCCGGAGGCGGGACCGAGGACCGGCAACGAGGCACCGGGGGGGGACCCAGAGGCGATCGCCAACCCAGAGCCGGAGGACCCGCAGGCAGCCACCGAGCAACGGCCAGGTGACGCACAGGCGAGCCTAGGGGCAGGGCGGGCGAGACCCGGGCCCGATGCGTGTGTCCCCTCCCCTTACGGGACACGGAAAGGCGGGGTCTTGGGGGGTGTCGGCCTCGCCGAGGCAAGGGCGACGGAGTCATGAGGGAGGTCCCCGAGGGGTCCCACTCAAGCTCCTCCTCCTCCAAGGAGAATGGAGCGGGGGTCTGATTGTCTGGGACCTCCTCGGGGACTGGGACCAGTGCTGGGGGGACAGGAGTCAGGGCCTCCAGTGAGGTAGAAGCGGTGCAGCCGGAGCCGCGGGCGTGGCGGCAGGCGGTGCAGCCGGAAAGACGGGCTGGACAGGAAGGACGGGCGAGCCGGGCTGGACAGGAAGGACGGGCGAGCCGGGTAAAGCGGCGGCATCAGCGGGCGCCTCGGGCGTGCGGGCAGCAGGGGGCGCCTTGGTGGGCGCCTCGGGCGTGCGGCCAGCAG